TACAAAGAAAATCTCTATTATCTAAAGAAATAATTTATATCAGTTAAGGAATACATATGACGAATTCTAATAACAAAAGTTATTACTCTGATGCACTTGAGTGAACCTAGTTTTGAGTCATCATGAAATAGTGATTCTTAACAGATATTTAATTCAAATGACACAATCAAAATTTGACATTTATATTTTGTTTGAGAATTTTGAATTTGTGGCTACTGAACATCTCTTATTTTTGAAGATATTTGAAAATATTTCTTTAGATAATAGAGATTTTCTTTGTATTTATTATATTAAAATTCTTTTCTAGTTTGATAGCACCGGGTGTACTCATAGGTGGTTTAACATTTGCATTGTCATATCCAGTTATTACTTTCATTTTACCATCTCTTTGTGCAGTTGCTGTTGTACTTTATGAAAAACATCTCATTAATCCAGAACTTATCATCTTGTAAGTAATATATGTATAAAAAAGTTCAACTTCTTATTTCATATTTCTCTTGAAATTAATATAAAAATAACGATATTTTACAAAAAAGTTAAAAGAATTATTTTCAATGAAAAGATAATTAATTTTATTTATCTTTTATACTTAAACAAAAATAGTTGAAAATTTTTTTTGGTGTGCTTCCATTATTTAATTTGATAATTTATAGGTTATTTGCTTTTATACCATTTGGACTTGACGTGATACAGTTATCTACTATCGTGTACGTACTAAAGATATTTATGTATATATATATATATGCTACTCACTACACTACAAAATATTCTATAATCAAAGGATTATGATAATATTATTAGTGTATACTTAACGTACAATTTTTATATGAACCTGTAACCTTAAGCATATGCAATCTTCGAGAAAGTCCTACAGGATTTTTAATCTCAAATGTCAGATTACGTTTTTTATTCAATGCGGTCCCGAATCACAATAGTGTCTTTGTGCTAGATTTTTCACAGTTAAATAGTAGCCTTTCTACAACTCACTTTCAATTGGACGTAGAATTTTCACAATACAATAGTAGATAGAATATAAGTATTGTCAAGAGTTGTTCCGAATGCTGATACAAGGATATCGATGTATAGTTTTTTTTTTCAAATCAGTTTCATTGATTATACTTGAAGAAAATCAATAGTAGAATAGCAACACTTAATGAAATTTACATTAAGATATATGCCATTTTTCAACAAGAAAATTTTCATAAACAAATTTATACTTACTATTAGTTTATAATGTGCAGAATAAATATGAAGTACATCATATATTTTAGTAAGATCTTAACACTGACCAAAATAAAACATCATTAGTGTTCCTTGTTTTTTCTCTAAAAATCTGATTTGTTGTCCGTGAAATTTTCTTTATTCAAGTCAATAAAGTCTTAGATTAATTCAAAAAGAAAACACCGTATATTCGAATAAGTAACATATTTGTTTGAGATCTATACTTGTTATTTAATATTTCTTTCTTGTTTATCATAATGACTAATGCTGTTTAACAAGATTATGGGTGATGTATAACCATATTACTTTATAATAATCTATTATTAAATTATTTCTAACTAAAATAGTTCAGAAGAATTTGCACGATCAGCTGCATCAGCCAAAAGATTAAATCGACTCTTCAAACGTAAACCAATGATTGACAATAGCTCAACAAAGGGCAATATAATAGTAAAAATTTCTGAAATATAAACATGATATTCTATTCTTTTTATTTTATTCACAGGATAATTTTTCTGGATCAATCAAGTTTGAGAAAATTGTTTTCTCATATCCAACACGCAAGTTGATAACTGTACTCAATGAATTTGATTTAGAAATAAAATCTGGTTTGTTAGTTTTGTTCATACTCTTAAATTATCAAATATCATTTTACTTTCAGGTCAAAGTATTGCATTTGTTGGTAAGAAAATTTATTTACAGTTGAATCAATTGAAAAATATATTCACATTAATGTAAGGTCCAAGTGGATGTGGTAAATCTACATTAATTCAGTTACTCGAACGATTTTATGATTGCAATCAAGGTCGTATAGTAAGTACTCAAACTATCGTTAAAAACAAGAAAATCTATTAGATTTATATTACATGAATAATATTTGACAATAACTTCATTTCCGATCATAAATTATAGTTGTTATGACCGATAACTTTTTTTTACCGGATATAGTTAAGCATTGTCGATTCGAAAACTAAAATAATAATATATCATATGAATAATTTCACATGAAATCAACTACTTCATACCGAACTCAGGTCAACAAATCATATATTAAGTCTTGTAAGATCATACGAAATCGTACAAAAAATTGATGAAATTTTCACAGTTTAGAGAGCTCTTAATTCTAAGAATTTTGATAAAAATTGATGTATGTTGAAATAGAAATCTTCTCAAAAGTTGTTCATAAATAGTTTTTCGACATATTTCTACACTAAATCAAGGTCGAAAATAAAATCTAAGGACATATTTTGATTTCTGATGAGAAAAGTAGAGCAAGTGAAGCTCTATAAAATAATCTGTAACATCATATCAAGTAATTCGACTTTTTTGAAAAATCCTGACCAAAAGAATGTTCTAAATAATATTAATGTTGGTGTTGTTGAAGATCATTTTGCATCATATTTAAGAGACAGTTCGATTCAAGATTAAAACTATATTTTGTTTAGATAGATGCGCTTTTATATCAGAAATCAAAAAATATTCTTAGATTTAATTTTTGACCTTGATGTAGTGTAGAAGTATGTCGAAAACTATTTATGAACAACTTTTGAGAAAATTTCTATTTCGATGTACATTGATTTTTACCATATTCAATATGTTGAACGTATCTTGGTCATAACAAAAGTTTTCATTAAAATTCTTAAAATTAAGAACTGTGAAAATTCTGAAAGTTTCATAAAAAGCCATCACCAATTCGGTAGGCACATGATTGAATTCATATGAAATAATCTATATGATTTCTGCTTTATGAAGAAATTACAGAATTTCGAGAAATCTTTGATCACAATAATAAGAAAAAGGATTGAAACGAATAAAGTTCATCGTTGTTTTATTTTCTAATTTACGAAAGTTTAATATTTCAGAATATTCAGTTGATATTAAAAATATATTTTAACCATATTTTTTTTATCAACAATAACTTTATATGAATATCTAATATAATCGATGTGTTCTATTAGATATTTCTAAAAGATATTTTATTTAAAATATTTCCTTGTAAAACCAACAAAATATCTGTATATCAGAAGGTATGTAGGTGAAGTTTATATAGATTTCAGATGTCAAAAAAGTTTCAGTAATTGATATCATTCAGTATCTAAGAATACTGATAATGCTATATATGACAGGCGAGTGATAAAGATATTGCAAGTTTTGGTTTTGAACCTCAGCAATCATACACAATAGAAAAGTATAGTTTGAAATTTCTCTTGCAAAATAGCTGAACATTGATTGTATCTATTATCTTCGAAAATTATTATGTGAAAGAAAATGAAAAAGTTTTCTTTTACTTTCAAGAAAGCCCTGGAGAAGAGTACCTTCGACTGATCGTATATAGTTTTCAAGTCTCTCATTCAGTACAGGTGTATCTGAAAAATTTTCCATAAATGTATAAAAGCAATCAGAAAAAATTTTATTATTTATTGAAAAATTATATTTACAATAAAAATATCCCTTATTTCTGTACAATGATTAGCTACTTGATGGTCATAACATAGAAAGTTTGAATTTGTCTTGGTTACGGTCACAAATTGGCCTCGTCAATCAAGAATCAGTTCTTGTATGTGATCTTACTGTTGCAGAAAATATTGTCTATGAAAAAGCGTCAAATGAAATTATTTATGAAGATATTATTCGTGCTGCAGAACGAGCACATTGTCATGATTTCATCAAGAATTTACCTCAAGTCAGTTATTTAAACGAATTTCAGACTGAAAAAAAAATATGTTCTTTTTTTATTGTATTTGATTTACAGGGTTATAATACACCTGTTGGTCATAATGGTACTTTCCATTTATCTGGTGGTCAAAAGCAACGTATCGCTATTGCTCGAGCTCTCTTTCACAATCCTAGAATTTTGTTACTCGATGAAATTACCAGTGCACTCGATGCGGACAATGAACAGGTTCATGTCTTTTATTTGTTTTATTCTTTGGAGTATAGAAAAGATTTATAGGTTCAAAAGTTCTATTTTCTCGAGAGAAAATGTTCTCTATCTATGCATGAAGCAACTTGAACACTTATATGATTTTGATTTAATTCAAATAAGTTAATAACTGCGGTAATATTGAACCTCAAACATGTATGATAGCTCTTAAGACACATAAAACAACATGAAAAATAAATTTCTTTCCATTATCCTATTGAAACATATTGAAATATGATCTTTTTCTTTAGCTTATACAAGAATCATTGAGTCTCATTCGGCAAGAAAATCCTTCGCAAACTGTTATCTTTGTTGCTCATCGTCTTTCAACCATTCAATCATGCGACTTAATTTGTCTTTTCGATACATATGGACGTTTGATTGAAACTGGTACTCATGTGGAATTGATGGAACTTCATAATGCTTATTATAAACTTTTTCTTGATTATCTTGAAGGAAGAAATAATTCATAGAAAATGAATGTAAAGTGAAATTTCAATTAAAATTCTCAATATATTATGATATGATTAGGTGTGTGTATATATATTGAAAAAACTCATGGTAAACTTCTCGGGACAGTGAAAAGCTAGCGAGGATGTGGTTGAATGTTGTTGTGCATCTTGTGTCGTCTCACAGCTGCATCTTCGCTTTCAAAGTAAATAAAAAAAGAGGAGAATAGATCATGTTTAATGATGAATTTGTATTCTATGGAAGCCATTTCCCCATCTTTTACAAATGAAAAATAATTAAGATTTGTGTGAAATATAGAAGTGTTGTTCACAAGTCATTTTAGATTGCTTTTTATCGATATTTTCTCGTGTTGAGATTTGGCTTCTGGTATTTTGTGGAACTCACGTATGTTTTCGAAGAAAATAGTGAGTGTAAGTTTTTAGTTCGAGGTTCGCGACTCCCCCTCTCCCCGCCACTCCATTACAGACACGCAGCAACGGAAAAGAGAATATTACAGACACATAGCAACGGGAAAGAGAACATTACAGACATACTCCCCATTACAGACCTTTGCAACTTCGTAAAAAAAAAAATTTCTGTTCGAAACTTAGAGATGAAAATATAGAATTTTCTAATCATCGATTATCTTTAGAAAAAAAATTCTTATATTTTGGAGATTTTAAATATTGGGTATTCTGTCATTAGTATAATGAAACCAAAGGAGATATGTGAGTTCCACATTTCAGCCCCAAAGGGGCTACGCTGACAAGCTTTTTCTACTGCTCTATCGTATTCGTAGATAATTATTGTTGAAATATACAATACCAAAGAAAGAAGTATTGACAATCCATGATTTGCAAATGTGTTCTAGATCGATGAATTCGAAAATGACCTAATTAATAAACAAGTATATCCTGATAAATGAAAATGTTAAAGACGCGAAAAAATGAAATAGTTATATGTGTGCAGAAAACTATTTAGTTCCAAAGTATCTCAATTAGTAAATATACGTATAGCTATAAATCTTTTCAATTTTCTTTCCCTATGTTTTTTCCAAGTAGTAAATTGCTCTCGCAGGTCAATGTTGCCATTAATCCGCACGATGTCGTCATCACAAGACGCATTTAATCATAGTTCATCATTTACTTCTTGATAAACTGTAATAAGCAACTTTCATCGACGATAGCTGAAGTACGAAATCTCTGTTGTCTCTACACACACCAATGCAAAAGATACAGAAGGGAAGAATGTAGTGCATGAGTATAGAGAAAGTGTCGTGCCCTACAAACTGACAAGAAAGATTGTTTATTATAACTTATCAAGAGGTAAATGATCAACTCTGATCAAATACACGTTACAATGTCGAAAACATGTGGGTTGATGGCGACATCGACCTGCCAGAGCAATAATCAAGACACATAATACAATAGAAACAATTTACTATATCAGTTGATATTGACGAAGCACATCATGGTACACAAGAAACTATTGTTGTATCTTTGAATGCTCTCTGTTAGTAGGCAGCTTGTATTGAACCTTCGTCTATAGGAAGTATCATTCTAACTTATGGTATGTTACCTGGAAAACATGAAAGTAGATGTGTCTCGTTGTACGTATATATGTTAAAAAACAATATTATCTTGACAATTGAAAAGGCAGCTGACTAGAATTTTGAATTTCTTTGATCGAAAAGGATAATCACTATGAAAACTCTATATAACAGTACATTAAATATTATTCTAAAGAAATATGTAACGCTTTATCAATGTGAAAGGGTAAACATTCAAATAACATTGAATCTAAGAAAACAAAAAAGTTATGTTCATTTTTTGCAAGATCATTTAGTTAGGAAAGATCAACGAATTGAAACTTAAGTCATTTTTGAATATCTTTACATTCATTTTCTTCAACTTTATCATGGAAGAATGATCAATCTATAATGACGATGAACTTAGTGGCATTGAATTTGTTCATTCTGTATTTTTGTTTGGAATTCAAAGTATTTGCTATTGTTTGTTTTGTTTTTGCACAATATTTTTTTGACACTACAATGTTGTTTATAATAATTTGTGAGAGAAAGAGAGTTGGAAAAAGTTCAAAAGCTACTTATTCAATGATATGTATGGAAATGGATTACAGTGTACAGTTGGACTTTACATTCCTAACCTGTGGAAGAAATGGTTGAACTTTGATCGAGAAATAACAAAAATATATGATTAAATTCTACATGACTCTAATGTGATCAAAGAATTGATGAAAAATTCACGAATAAGTTCTGAAACTCAAAAGTTTAGATAGAACTCGTTTTCACACATTTCCTATACCTTCTTTCAAGAAAAAGAAAGGAAAATTCCAACAATATTCATCTTCACTCAAAATGTATCGTATGTATTTATCTTCATCTATAACTCATATTAGTCGAAACACATTTGCATCAACATACAAAAATAAATATGTCACTAAAAAAACATATTTTCTACTTCTGGAATATGATATCAACACTCATATATATTTAGGTTTTCGAATCTTGTTCCTTTTCTTATTTTGTACACTATAAAACACAAAGAATACTCGTTTGAACGATTTTTCTGATATATACATTTCATATTCAATAAAGATGAAGAACATATTTACGTATCTGCTTAGGTCTGACCAAAAGTTCTGCAATTTAAAAAAAAAAGTTAAAGAAAAAGAGAAAGTTCGAGTTTTATTTTATTAAATGTTCAAAATAGTCCCCATGATTATTTATACAAAGTTCCATC